TGCTGTCTCCACTATTCTCGTTAAGCAGAAGGAGGAGATATAAGTTATTTATAAAATATTTCCAACTCAATGGGATCAGTTTTGCCTCCTACTTCCGAACAATTCTCAGTTTATGCAAAAGTGAAATAGCGCATGGGTTGGTAGGCATCGCATTAAGGAATTTTGTTCCAAAGACCGACTCCTGTTTGCATGCTCCGAATGACAAATTTTGCTTCTTAGAAGGCTGTAATGCAACCTGGGAGAATACGAGGTTAAAAATAAATAAGGTCTTTTATCCTACTCAGAGGCAGGTGTTTATCGACACCGATGGCAGATGAGTGCCTATCATCTCAATGCCAACCTCAGCATTTTGCGTGTACAAGTTCGTCAGAGATGGCATGCATTCCTACCTTGTAAGGCTCGCATTTCGGCGACCAGTATTACAAAATTATTTCTAATTATTTCCTATATTAACCGGTTTCATTGAAAGACTGGAGACAAAAACCAAAGCCGTTCAAGTTATGCAGTTAAAAACTGCAAAAAGCTAGCGATAGCGTAGCTATATTGGTCATGATTTCCAGCCGTATTGCGCTACGTGGACGCTTGGAATAATGACGCAAGTAATTTCAACCGCTTGAATGTCCGCAGAGGATTGCGCTTTGTGCCTATTTGTGGCATATAGCTTAGAACCTTTTTAGGTCTAACCGAAAACCAACGAGATATAGGTTTTCTAGCCATCAGTTCCTTCCCCTTAGAGTAAACTCGACCATAAAATAAATTTCTGTATTGGCGCACAACGCAGTTAGTGGGTCTCTATCATATTACTATGGCAAGCTTTTCAAGAAGCCTGTGCTTTTGTAGTCTCGCACAGACGGCTGCGTAGAAGGGGTTGTCTGGCCACGTAGTAAGCCCGCTGTGGGCGTCTACTACAAAGCTGCAACTGTCTGGCACGTACTGTCACGTAGACATCAGTCCTAGCCGTTTGTCTGATATTCTGAGGCCCTGTGTGGTGCTGCCATCGTCTCTGGTCGATCCCTAATACCGAGAGCTATCGACTGGTCTTCGGCCAATCATGGTGCTTCAAACTGACCAATCATTTCTAAGGCACAGGCAAACATGCTTCGGCTCAAGCCGCTCGGGTGCCGGACGTGAACATCTGTCGACTGACTACCAACCGGCGCCAGTTTACTCCTCATTCATTTCGAACAGAGTACAATTCTCCCTCTGCTGTCGTCTAACTTCCCATCTTCCTACTCCGAAGGTAATTTAAAGGTCCTAGTGCTTGGGGTCTGCCCAAGACCTCAGCTGCTGCGACATCCAAAGTTGGGTTTTTAGTCCTCCTTAGTTTGGAAATAATTTCATCCTTGAAGTGAGAGTCAAGATCACAGAAAATTAAGCTTCTTTTTATAAACAGACGATTACATATTCCAGGTATAAGGTGAGAGCTTCGTAAGCTCGCGGTTCCACAGGAACAATGAACACATCTTCCGATATGAGGTGACATAAATCCTCCTGAGAGGTGACAACTGCGTGAGCTGCAAACTACTTGAGCCATGGTTCCCCGTCCCTCAGTCCATAAAAGGGAGACTCGATTGTTGTAACAAGAGTTTCACTCACCTGACATTTCGATTTTACACTCAAATCTGTCATAAGAATTGGAACCAAGTATGGGTATTATTTGGCACAAATTTTGAAGTGAGAACTGTGCTAAAATAAATCCGTGCCATCATTCTACGATGACTTAATACTCTCAGCCACAAGCGATCGGACGTTCGCTTGCAAGTGAAGGGGTAAGACCTCTGGCTCAATGATCATTTGGATTCCTGTTAACGTCAAATTTTCTCCGTTCTGGGTTTTGTCGAACGACGGCAAATTGTCACCCGGGAATGGTCAACCCAGTCTCCCTTGTTAGTTGTTTTTTCGACTGTCACTTTTAACAGAAAAGCGATAGAAGTTTCACACAGGACCCCATCAATAACATATTTCCACAAGAAAACATTTCCCCACCTATCCTCAGGTGCGCGCATTTGGGTGTGTAATCCAAGTACGCGTGTTACCGATTCTCTGCAGACTGATAAGGCGACTGTGAGGGTTTCGACACGATATGCAGTATGATGAAATGCTTTTTTTCAGTGAGACCTGTGAAGGCGTGAAGGGCAGGTGATTATTGCACTGACGTTAGCGGTAAGAGATGTAACTGCAGTGCATTTGTTGTGGTCTATACAAGCGTTTTTCTATTTACGCCTAACTGCTTGGTCACCAAGCAGCCTGAATGCACACCTTCCAGTAATCAGATCGTATCTGTGACTTCTGCACTCATTTAAAGAATGACTTCAAGGCAACTGTAACAGTGATTGACATGCGCAGGTGTAATTTACATCTGCACAGTTAAGAGGAATATAATATGGTTTGAGGAAAATCGGGGGTCATAGCAAGCGGAGTGGCACACAAGGCCTTTTTTCAAATGGACACAGGAATAAGAACTCCCCGTGCTACAGGTATCCTTGCGCTAAACTCCCAAGGGGTGTCTATTCCCGCGTCCTAACATGGGCCCTCCTAAGTCTAACCCTAACACCTTTCCCTAACCTCAACCTCCTTCTGGAATTTAGCCAAGGACACCCCTTATAGGGGGGGACTCCATATGCTCATGTCCCACTTCCCTGTCAAAGGTAGAAAGCCCACGAACAAGGCCGGAAACACAAGGGGATAAACTCCAAACAAAATATTAAAGCGACTATTGGATCAGAGTTTCATTTGGTACGTGGGAAATCCTAAAAACGCTGGATCTCTCTCTCTCTAACTCTGTTCAATTTTTATTAAATTGGAAAGGTTAATTACAGACGTTGGTATATGCTTCTGCACCCATGGACGAAATGCAAGTTCTGAAACATTTCCGATGGGCAACTGAGCGTATCTGATAGACCTGTAGCGTCTTCCACGCACTACTTAGCATGTATTGCAGGCCGAGGAGCGTTCCGCACAAACACTGACGACGGACTAATTGAGTTTACATACTTTTCACCAAATGATGCTAATTAAATTAAGTAAGTAAGCGGGTTATCTGTAAATTACCAAATACATGTTTTAAGTTATTGATCAAGCCTATCAGAACCTTCAGAGAATCATCCAACATGATTATGATCCGATATTTCCTCGAGCCACCTATTTTCAAGTTTTTAAGGTGCTGTCATGAAACCCGATTTAAGCCGTGGCAAAGAATGCCTGGGAAAGAATTAATAAATCTAATAATCTGCATGGCATTCACGGACTACGTCGAATATCCAGTTTCGTATTGCAAAGGAGGCTGGGGTAGTTATTTTTAGCTTATCGAACGTCGTCTCAGTTAGTCCTATTCCATCGCAGGTTAGTCCCACCTGCGATTCAAGCACGAATTCTTTGGTCAAGGGAAGTTATCAAATCTAACGTCCCATTATTTAGCCACCGACCCATTGTCCTGTCGGCTGCTGTTGCAATTCCCCTATTGTTCCCCATTAATTCTAGGACCTGAACTTTCGGTTTTTAACTACTTATTCCACAGCAAGTAGGACTGGAAGGACTCCTTGCAAATTAGACGAATGCTATAGTTATCTGTCCATAAACCGCATACTTATAAGGACACAAATGAGGCCGAATTTGACGCATCCACAAACAAGCTTAGACTTTAATCCTGTGATATTTTAACAGACTTTTTATACAAAACAGGCTCAATGTTTAAAAAGCAATCGTGCTTTGGTTCTAAGCTCCAACTATTTTCTGAAAATCATGTATGAGAAGGTTGGCAAGCCCACAATCAAGGGCTCCTGGCGGCTCTTACAGCCTATGACGCAGAATGAACCGATTTTTGACTAAAGGTTTTTGATAAAAACCGACTTCGTAATCGCTCGCTGTCTAATTTTGAGAAAGTTATATTTGAGCCGTTTCTGAATCTATACCTCATGCATATTTTCTCGTATAATGCAGCGTCTAAACACCAGGCAACTAAAAAGTGACGAGATCTGTAAGTGATTAATAATTACATATTACTGCACAACCATCCCGGCAGAATTCGTCAAAAATCGTAGAATATTAAAAGAAATCTTCCATTTTTTCGGGCAATTTTTAACTTGCGTACATTTGTATAACTGACTCGCGGGCAGCATAATCCCAGGTCGTTTTCTACGCGACATCACACCGGTCTTTGACAGTGTCAATTTTTGACTTGTTCGTAACTCTCGAGGTGTGGTTCTCCGATGCCCACTCTATCAACAGGCATCTGGACCTTCCTGCAGCTTACAAAGTCCTACGTCATCACAATCGTAGAGCTCAGGACCAAACAACCACCCCGGACTTAAGAAGGCCGTACGGAGATAGCCTGACGCTGAGTTTACTCGGTGAGGAAGAACAAGAACCGCCAGACCGACCACCTGACAAAGGTTCGATCAGCTCCCCCCAACGAAGCGGTGACTCACAAAGCACGCAGATAAGACGCCCGTCAACCATCCCCCTAGAGGCCGAGGCAGCGAGAGGAGAGAAAAATCGATCAGCATGAGACCGACCAGCGTGACATGCCACTTGAAATTTCTGATCTATTAAGTGCATTTTACGCTTTGACAATGGAGAGCCTACCAAGATGTTTGAAACGTCAGCATTTAAATAAACCTGTTCCAGAGAGCCCATCTTCTTCAAATAATCAACCCGGATCTCTCAGTTTTGCCAATCTGAAATGCTGCACCTTTCTAATGAATTCTTCAGCCAAGTTTGCAGACCGGTCTGAAGTGCTTAGTGCAGGCAGCGCGCAAAATGCCTAAACGAAAACTTTCGTCACGTGTGAAAGTTTGGGTGCTTAGACAAGCAGACAGGTGAACTCCACTGGATGCGTCCTAGCAGCCGTCCCCCACTAAGGGCTAATAACTTTCTCGGTCAGTGAGAGGCTAGAAGACCTGTCTCAGTATAAATACACTCACCTGCAAACCGGTGCGGCTGCTGGCAGACGATACAACAACACTTTTGATCCTGACCAAGGCGGGCATTCCTCCAAGCAAATGGCCATCAAAAGTCCTAAAATGCGTGTTCAGCTTTTCGGAAAGTTCCGCCCCTCCCAGAAGCCTAACTTCGAAGACAGCGAACTGGCAAAACATATTCTCAATCTGTGCGCCCGAACGACGCCAAGCGAGGTCGTTATCAGCGCGTCGTTCAGTTCTCTCAGACTCATATCTGCTGAAAACAAAGTGATTGGCAGACTCAACTGGTCGCAGGGCGTTCAGGCACTCAAAGTGGACTCCAAAACGAGCACATTTGCACTCCTCACTGAAACATCAGAACAAAAGAAGTCCGACTGCTTTGTAATCAGGCTTCTTGGGCAGGACAGTGAAGCCAGACTCTACAGTGACCTTGTCAGATGGCAGTTGGACAGCGTTCTTCGGAACTATGGTGGAAAAAATGAGGAGTCCCCCAAACAACAAGAGCAGCAGCAGCAGCCTGTAAAAGAATGGAAAGAAGGACAGAATATATGCAAATGTGAATCAGTGTCGCAGAATAATTCCGCCGGTGCGGGTCTCCTTGTGCTGGGCCAGGCCAACAAGCGAATGCCACTAGCTGGAAGCAACAAGGGTTCCAGTTCTGAGGATGCAAATTCAGAGGCGCTGAGTATCATGAGCACAAATGTCCCATCAGTTAAAAACTGCCACAATCGGCTGCCTCGAATGGCCGTTCTGAGAGGTGACTTCGATGAGGACTATATCAAAACTGTGGGTGAAAGTCTTGGAAGACGAGCATATGGTCCACAAATCTAAAACATATATTATGCCCTTTTTGTGTTTTATTTTAAAAATCAAAACGAAGCAGAATTTTTTAAAAGGAGGGATGAAAATTTGACGAAGAGTATTTGGTCGATTTTTATTCAAACCATCCCAACCACAAAATGCTTATAGTTAGTCGAAACACGGGAAATGTGCTTCTTTAAACGATTTGGTTGCACCGCATTTTGAGGAGGCCACGAGCTTGGTCAAGTTAATTAGAGACAGAAGTATGCTAGCCACAGCAAAGGTGCCAGCAGAATACGGTTATCCTTTCAAATGTAAAGTAGTAGTTGCCACCTATCTTCTTAGTCCCAAATTCCACAAACCCGATAAAATATGCGTAATTGCACAAGATACTCAAAAATCCCAAGAGAAATATTTTTGCAGTAAGACTGGGATGGCCATTTCCGACTTATCAACCATCGTCCGCCAGCCTTACCGAAGCCCATGTTCTCACGTCACCTGAGCTTTGATTTCGCGTTCCCTGGTCCGTGAGCGTCATTGGGTTCAGCTTTCTACCAGTTAAACCGTGGGACTGAGGTCCAGGTGCGACATACCTGGGCCCGAGTAGAGCTGCCTGATGATGGTTAGTAAGCCAGAACTGGTCATTCAAGTCCCCCTTAGTTTTGCCGGTTATCATCATGTGCACATACTACTAGTCGCTATGCAAATGCCTACTGGGCTTAGATCGACATAAAAGGCACAATAGGACGAGCATGTCCCGTGATCCGATCGATGAACGCACTTCCAACAAAAAAATATTTTCCTTGTTCAATTCGGTATAAAGAAATTTAATAAGTGGCGAGGGAATTTGGACTTTCACCACTTTCTGAAATCTGGCCACCACAAACGAACCTTTTCTAGTAACCAGCCTTTGTAGATTTTTCCATTCCAAGCTGCTAATCGTCTTTGAATTCAAATGAAAACCGAATTCTCACTCTAAACGCCAGGTATGGGAGGCAACGTTATTTTGTAGAATGGAAATAACATATATAGTTTTCTTAAGCAGTCCAACATGGTTGAAAATTGTATTGCAGACAGGTAAAACATGAGGGAAATCACGTAATCTCCTTCGTAAGCCAGTAAGCCGACGGCATTTATTGACTGAAGGACTTAATTGAAATTCAATGACCATTACTAAAAATAAAGCCAAAAAGGTATTGAAAGAAGCAACAGGTTGCTTCGAAAATACGACGTTTCGAGAAAAGTAAGCATTCCGAAAAGGCAGAAACTAGTGTCAGACAAATAAATTAACCAAGTAGAAAATACGAAATTTAATGCAAAATTAAGTAAACGCAGCGGAATATGCACGATTACTTTTAAAAAAGCGTTTAAAATAATAATTAGGTCAAATATACTCCAAGAAGTATTATTGCATGCAGCCAGATATTTGGTTTGGGGCGGACATTTTAAAATGCATTCCGAGTCTGCCAGTCAAAACGCTCCTTTTTTTCTATTCTTCGGCATTAGTCTAGACAGGGCAATGATGACTTCGCTAGATTTCGTCGTTCGGGTCGTCAAAGGAGTAAACGTTCCCATAAAATCGCAGGCCTGCTATAAAGAGTGAAATGCTCATAGACGGGGACCTGTTAGATATTCTCAAAACACTTCTGAGAGGAATGCTCGAAATAACTGACTGTTCCGATTTATTATAAGCAAGTGCAAAACATGGCTGCAATGTGATTTGGCGTGCGAAACAGAACTACTAGCTGTCTAGTAATTTCTAAGTTCCACATATGTCTCCCTGAAACCGGCGGCCAAAGTACGTAATCCAAAATGATTCGATCCGGAGAATAAACCTTAATTGTTAGTTAATTAATACGACGAGACAAGGTTCACTAAGAAGGCACGGGAATATGGACCTGATCTAGTACTGGAGGCAGCCTCACATCCTTATTCCCGTGTCTTAACCCTAACCCTAACCCCACTTATTACCCTTCTAATCTCAACTCCAAAACTAACCCTAAATCTGATCTATCGTGGAATTTAAAGCGAGGGGTTCCATATTCTCGTGCCCGACCACAAATTTAGCTATCCAGGCTCAGTGTAAAGGCCTTCACGTCTGGCTGAAAATGTCATTTTAGCCGAAGAAAGTGCATCTCTAGCTCTGGCTGTACTTCAGGGACAAGGCCTGTATAGATTTAAATAGTTTATGTGCAACAGTTTATTTGAGAAAAGGCGACTTGTATACCTACGACACGACAGTGGAGAATTCATATGTGAAACTTAACACTGAAGCATGACGTTGTCCGCGGCCAAAGGCGTTCGCCGTAGCAATCTAAAAATATTCACTTTGACTCAACTGTGGAAAACTCGGTGATGCGATTGGATTCGAACCCAAGACCGCAGGGGGAGACGTTAGTGCAGCCAACGCTCTAGCCACCTGAGCTACGAGGCCCCACCGGACGACGTGAGTTTAATCACATTTGGGTCAAGTTTGTCCGCCCAACCTCCTGCATCATCTGGTGCCACCAAATATGATACAGTAAGCTGACCGCCCAACAGGGTTTTCTAAGTAATTCCACTGGAACCCGTCAGCTGACTACGTGCTTGGGCAGTCAGCTTACTGTGTCAGATTTGGTGGATTTCAGACGTTGCAGTAGGTTGGGCGGGTAAACTTGACCCAAAGGTGATAAAACTCACGTCATCCGGCGGGGCCTCGTAGCTCAGGTGGCTAGAGCGTTGGCTGCGCTAACGCCACCCCTAGCTGTCGTGGATTCGAATCCAATCGCGGCACCAAGTTTTCCCCAGGTGAGTCAAAGTGAATTATTTGAAATCTGCCACAAAACCTATGAATTTAAAAACACCTTTTAGACTCGCATTTTACTGCCGGAGAACCTTCACTAAAATGCAACACAAGGTCAACCTTCGTGCTGAAGTCCACGCCAGTGAAAAGATTTAGGACCAGCAGGGACTATGAATCCTCCAGACAGAACTACCCCTTAGGGACTGACATCTTCAGTCCCCCAGTCAATTAATCCTAGCCATGTTTTGGACGAGACTTAAAGTAGCATCAACAAAAGCTTACTCGCAATTATAACCATATCGTTTGGAAGCACTATATGAGATCGAAACGCGTTCAAAGTAACCATATTACTTGATTTCGAAGCTTGTACTCAAATATACGGACTATCCCTTCCGATGGTGTCCAAGGTGTGCTCCGCAGCAGGTGTGGGGACGGTGACTTCCGCGTGAATAAATTTACAGTGATAGTAAACTTGCGTTGCAACTACCGCACTATCTCGTCCATCCTCCATCAGGGCCCTGTGTCATAAGAAGACCGGAGGCAGAAGGAGGCCCAGGTGGCTGACGCGGCAAAAACCCGTACCTACAGTAGATGTGCTAACTTATGAAATGTCAACCAAAATTTCGAAATGCGTTCTCGTTTCGAGAAGCTAAAGTAAGTAGTGTTGTAAAACTAATCATGATGCAGCACAAATCTCTAATGGCCCAGTTACCTCAGGGTGTCGGCTTTCGAAAGAACTTATTTTCGGCTGCATGCAAGATCTATATTCTGCAAAAATGACTTCTTAAGTAGTATGTAATTTTCTCATTGATTTTCGATGTCCTTGAAAATTCAATTATATTTCATGGAAAACATGCATAAAAATATTCATTCTTTTACTTATTCGGTAGAAAATCACGTCTTCTTCCAACTTCATATCCAAAAGAAGAGTATAATTCGGTTTTAAAAAAGTTTAGGATTGTGAGATTTTTTAATACCGTTAAATAGCCGTTCATGAAACGTCATGTATCTGCATTTACGAATGTGGCTTGTAAAGTTAACAATATTGCTCAAATCCACTGCTTAATTTTATGAACCTCATATGGTCTCTTCTTAACACCGTAGAGAAATGCATGGTTTTTCGTACACGGAAAATATGAGACTTGTAGTTCGGTAACCCTGAATGCAAGTGTAACATCAGGTCGGGTTCAAAATTATTCGGGAATTAGAAAAGTTTTTTTAAAACCGAATTATCCTCTTCTTTTGAGTATGAAATTGGAAGAAGACATGATTTCCTACCGAATAAGTAAAAGAATGAATATTTTTATGCATGTTTTCCATGAAATGTAATTGAATTTTCAAGGGCATCGAAAATCAATGAGAATATTGCATATTATTTAAGTAGCCATTTTTTGCAGAATATAGGTCGTGCACGCAGCCGAAAATAAGTTCTTTCGAAAGCCGACACCCTGAGGTAACTGGATCATTATAGAATTATGCTACATCTTTATTAGTTTTATAACACTACTTAATTTATCTTTTCGAAACGAGAACGCATTTCGAAATTTTGGTTGACATTTCATGAGTTAGCACATCTACTGTAGGCGTACCACTACACACCAGTCCACAGCGTATAACTGACCAGGATTTTACACAACAACAAACGGAGAGAAGGGCGGCTCGGATCTCAGTTGGTGCCGCACAGACCTCCGCCTAGGCGTGCCGCCGCACCCCCAGTCTTGGTATTTGTTATGGATGCGCCTCTGCAATAAACACTTGTCGGACGCCGATCTGGCCCCCGTGTTGGCTCAGCGCGTCTACCGTGTGGCCTCTCTTAGGGACACAGCAAATCTTACAAATTCTCTAACAAAGGTGGCAAAGATATTGCAAGCGAAATCCGCTCGTGTAACTTCGTCAACAGGGCACTTTTGCTCAGTCGCTCTTCGTCATGATACCCTATCCGCTTTCAGCGAGTATGAAGAAACAGAGGTGCAAACAGAAGTTTTCTCCCAAATACGCCAAGTAATAATGCAACTGTCCTTGGTGAGACCTGCATATCTCATGAGGAGACGCGTTCTGATGTTTATTTTACATATCTTTCCTGTATGTGTGCCCGAGGAGATAGTGATTTTAAAAAATCATTACTGAATAATCTGAGGTGTTTATGAACCAGGCCATTTATATCATCCCAATGCCCATATTTATGTCCTTTCTACTGTGCTAACTGGAAAGTATTACCTTCCAAATTATTACACAGTTCACTAATACG